AAGGAGTGATCAGCTCTGGGCACTGGGAATACGGACAGGCCCAGGAAACAATGGGGAAGGAGATGGGAAAGAGGTGTGTGGGGCCAGAGAGAGGGGGATCGGCCATGCAGCCACCAAGGACACATCCGCCAGGGAACAGGTCGGCATTCTCCAGTGGAGTATGAAAGAGGCAGCTGGACTCCCTTCCCCCATTGAGCCTTGCTTCCCAGAGCAGGGAGAGGCTCTTGTCCTGATGGTGCATTGGGCAAGGGTTCCGGACAGCGACACTGAGGGAGGGAAACAAGGACGGGATACGATGTGGCCTTAGAGGTCTGACCTCAGGTTCTTAGGCTCAGGGACCTCAGACCAAGGCAGCCGTGGAGGTCAGGAAACAAGCCCCCTTGGGGATGTCCACTCCAGAGTCTTGGGGTCACAACCAGGTGCCAGCGTGTGCCCGTCTGTCCTCTCAGCCTCTCTTTCCAGCTCTCACTGACCTTCCCCTCTCTTCTCTGTCAGGGACTGACACCCTTGGCCATGACGTGCCCCCAGCTGCTGTCTGCTCAGGCACAGCCTGCGTGACTGGGCTGTCGCTGCTCCAGCTGTTTCACGTAAGTGTGAGGCACAGGAGAAGGTGCCCGGATGCTGGGTAGAGAGAGGTGTTGGTGGAGAGGGAGCTCCAGAAAGTCCTGGTCACAGAGGGCGGGCCCCGGGGGTCTGCAGTTGGCAACAGGTTTGTCCTTGTTGGCTGTCCTCAGCCCCTGAGTTGGTCACTACTGAATCCATTCTGTCCAGAGCTCCTAGACCCTGCGAGGGAACGTAGGGACCTTGTTCTCAAGGCCTGAGGAAATTAATCAGGCAACTGGTGCGACAGAAACTCCACAGCACTGGCCCTTGGGTCCTGACTCAGACACTTGCTATTGTATGACTTTAGGCAAATCGTATAAAGGTCTGGCTTTCCCTCCTGTGAGTGGGGTTTTTGTATGGTTCAAAGGAGGTGTGTTAGTTATCTTGCGCTGTATAACAAACTACCACAATTTAGCAGCTTGCAAGAACACACATCGATTATCTCACAGTTTCTGTGAGTTAGGAATCCAAGCATCGCCAGCTGGTTCACCGTTTCAGGGTTGGTCATGAGGCTGCATTCAAGGTGTCCACTGGGATTACAGTTTAATCTGAAAGCTCAACTGGGGAGGGATTCACTTCCACTCTCACTTAAGTGGCCGTTCGGTTCCTTTTGGGCCATTGGATTGATAGCTTTAACACCCTGCTGTCCATTGGACTGAGGGCCAGAGGCCATCCTCAGTTCCTTGCTACAACATGGGCCTCGCCAGAATCCAACTTGCTGCATCAAAACCAGCCAGGGCGAGAGCTGGTTCACAAGAGGGAAGTCAGAATCTTTGAGAATCTACTCACAGAGTGACATCCCATCCCCTTTGCTGTATTCTGTTAGTTAGAGGCAGGTCACAGGTGGCACCCCTCCTCAAGGGGAGGGGAGTACACAAGGCATGACTGCCAGGGGAGAGGCTCATTTGGGGCCATCTTAGAACCTGCCCGTCATAAATGGGGACAGAAATGGAAACATGTTGTAAACTGTACAGTGAATGCTGTTTAGATTCAGGGAGTTATTGTGATCATATGCATCTAGTTGCAAAGAGAAAATAAGCACCCCTGAAATCATAGAGAGCCACTGGGTTTGGGAATTTAAATGCTAAGTTGCACCACCAGGACTGGGCCCTCTGGGAAGCTGGCTGGGACCTGGCTAGTTGACCACATGCACTTCACATGTGCCTTCTTGGTTTCTGACTGTCAGGCCAGACTTAAGTGATCACAGAATGTCTGGGCCTTCCTTCTCCCCACAAATAACCGTGTTTGAAGGACATCTTAGAGGTTACAAGGGGCCCTCACATACATGAACCTTTTTCCTGAGTTTTTTGGTAATCGCTCTTTTACCACGAGAAAGAAGGTCAGTTTCCAAGATGGGATGTCCGCTAAGCGGCACAGTTGGGCCCTGAATGGGCCTTCAGCCCTGTAGCTCTGCCTGCACTGCAGTGCTCCCCATTTCCAGGCCACTTCTGCTGTGCAGTCTTCATGGTACTGAAAGAGGGAGGCCAGGCATGGAGGGCAAAGAAGGGAGGGCTCTGTTCTTGTATGGCTTCATAATTCCCCGTTCTCTAAAACAGCCTGGACACATCCCAAGGGACTAGGCCAAAACTTTCAGTAGAGTGGACCACGGCTGCCTCCTCCAACTTCAGGTCACTAGGCCTCTCTGTCTCCTGAGCAGCCCTCAGGGGTGAGCATGCAGGGGAAGCAGGGGAGGGTGGAGTGGTGTGGCTGTGATGGTGTGTAAGTCCTCCCAAGGCTGAGGTTCACCTGCCCGCCCCCAGCGAATACCCCAGTGAACCCTGAAGCATGGCTCACTGTGCATTTGGGCAAAGTCAAATTGGTCTTGAACAAGGATGCTCTGGTCTGCGTATCAGATGTGAGCGGAGAGATACAACTTGCTGCCCTCTGGTGGCAGATCAGAGTCATTACTGCCAGGCCTGTGAAAGAAATGCTGTATGGTGAGATGATTACCAAACTTTTAAGTACCCGCTGTGTGCCAGGCACTGTGTATAATGCTGCAGGAGGATAGGCTACAGTATAAGATGCAACTCCTGATCCCAGAGGACTCATAATTTAGCACAGGAGTCAAGATGTTCCCACATGAAAGTTGACAAACATCATACCAAGACAGGATTTGAAAAGTGGCACATGGAAAGGCATTACAGTAGAATTCCAGCAGGAGAGAGTGCATCACCATGAGGCAGTCAGGGAAGGCTTCTTAGAGCCTTGAAGGATGGGCAGAATTTAAATAGATGGAGACAGTGAGAGCATGCTGTCCCCTACCGAAACCCTTCAGGAACCCCCACTGTCTTCAAGAGAGTTAAATCCTAATTCCTTGCCTGCCTTACAGCCTCTCCAGCTTCATCCCTACCCCCAGCCTTCCCGGATTCCTTACAGTTCCCGGAGCCTCTGTGTTCTTTCACACTCCTGGACCGTGCATTCCGTCCTCTCCACCTGGTCTACTGGACAAGCCCCCATTCAGCCTTTAGGAGTCAGCTCAAATATAACATGTTCCATGGAACTTTTCCCCGAGTGGTTAGCTGCCCCCTCCTCTGTGTTCCCACAGCCCCTGGTCTGTGCATCTCTGGTTCGTAAGGTATATTAAGTGTCTTTTCATCACTTGGCTATAAGCTTCTTAAGAACTGAGACTACCTGATGGGCAGAGGGTTCAGGCAGGGGGGACAGTGGGTGGTGAGGAAGAAAAGATAATTGGTGGTGAGCATGCAGGGAAGTGGGAGAGGGCAAGGCCTCTGAAGCTTAGTCTAAAAGTCTCCAGAGGAAGAGGGGTGCAGGGGCATGACGAAGGGCTAACTGTGGGTGATGTGAAGGGTGCTCAGAGACAAAACCGGCGAGATCTGTTAGGAAACCTTTGCACCAGTGCAGGTATGCGGTGCAGAGTCATAATTGGTGTGAAGAACAGAAGACTGGAAGAAACCAAAGAAGAATTTGAGGATTTGAAAGTCTGGGCATCTAGGGGAACACGCCACAGCTTTGTCAAACTCTAATATGCAAATAATCACCCGGGACCTTGTTAAAACGCAGGTTCTGACTCATTAGGCCTGTGGTGGGGCCTGAGAGGCTACATTTCTAACCAGCTTCCAGGTGCTGCCAGGCTGTGGTCCACAGACCGCCCTGTGAGCACTTTGAGTGATTTAGAAGCGGAGCCAGGTGCACACAGGGCTCCAGGAGCACAATGATGAGGAACAGATGGTGTCTGGGTGAAGACAGGTGCCCCTTCCCCAGGTGAGCACAGCAGGGCGCCCGGCTTCCTGAGCAGCTGGCGTTCCAGCCCTCACTTACCCTTCGAGTAACCAACAGCCTGCAAAACCCTTTGTGGCAGCCCTGGTGGAACCACTAACAGAGGGGTTGGAGGCGGGGAGCCCACCTTGGAGGGAGGGCGATGACAGCCTGTCATAATTGGGTTCGAGGTGCCAGTGTGGGCATCTGAGGGACAAGTCTGTCCACTAAGCAGTTGGAGACACAGCTGGAGCTGCAGATTTGGGACCTCTAGGCCTGTTGATGATAGAGCCCATGGTGAGAGAGCAGGGTGAGGTGAGGTGGAGCTCAGGGATTAATCTAACCCTTGGGGCCTTTTTCAGGCTAACACTCTTCTAACAACATCTCCGTCCCTTTCATTGTCTTGCAGGTCACCGTTCCCTTTATGAACGTAAGTGCTTACAGTCATTCTGTCCTCAAGATGCCAAGTCTCCTCACACGTTCCTGCTCCGTTGACACAGCCCACCTTGGTCCCCGTGTGCCTTGGGGGGTCAGGAATCCCCGTTCAGTGGCCTGAAAGGGGATTCGGCCCTCAGACAGCCTCACGTCCGGAGCGCACCTCCACCTGTTAGCCCCCATTAGCAGGACCCGTCTGGCCAGCCTCGCCCCAACCTTCCAGGGGCCAGAATGTGCCTGCCGGCTCCCTCTGAGCTCGCCTTGCCCTTGTTTTACCCAAGAATTGGAAAGAAAGGAGATACGCCCCTCAAATGAGTTGGAGCCAGGGTGGAACTTCTGAGGTTCAGACCCTGTCCCCTCCACCTGGGTCAAGGGCTCGGGGACCGTCAGCTCTTGTGCCCCAGAGGGCAGTGGTTAAGAGCATGGCCACCGGGGTGAACCAGGCTGGGTGGACTCTCAGTCACATCAGTCAAAGCCCCAGTTCATCGTGAGTGAAGTAAGGATAATCAAGAACTATCTCAAAAGGTTATTTTTTTTTCAAAAGGTTATTTTGAGGGTTAAGTGAGATAACCAGGGGAGTGCTTACCACAGTGCCTCACACAGACTAAGGCCTCAGTGAACAGAAGTTATTATTCTCTGTGTCTCGGCCCCGTGGGGTAGGGGAAGGGGTGAGGGTTAAGCCTGATGTGAACAGAGGGGAGAGGGGAGAGGAGAGGGAGAAGAGAATTAAAGCAGAAAGACAGCAAGAACCTTTGAAACTGGATGGAAACAGGGAGCAGAATCACACCTTCAGTTAGCTCTGTGCCGCCTCTCTTCCCTTCCGCAGCTATAAGCCCCACAGGTTAGGCTGGCCCAGGCCACAGCTACCCTCTGTCTTCAGGAAGCCCCTGGTGTTCCAGTGCCCAGGGCCCTCCCTGCTCTCGGGTCCCCCATGCCTTCAGCTGAGAAAGTTCCAGGAGGGCTCCCGGCCCCATGCCCAGGAGGGCAGCTGCCCCTCACCTCTCCGCACACGTCTTTGCAGAGTTTGATGGGGCGTCGGGCGGATGACAGCGGGAACGGTTGTGATCACTGGCGGAATCCTAGCTACGGTCATTCTCCTCTGCATCATCGCCGTCCTGTGCTACTGTAGGCTCCAGGTCAGTCCCCTGGGCCTGTGGCCAGAGGCCACCAGCAAACCACGTCCCCAACATGGGGGCAGAACCTGGAGGCCCACTGCGGGCGTGACAAAGCCCAAAGCTGTGGAATGTGGGAGGCGTAAGTCAAGGGGGCTGGGAGTTGGGGGGCTGTCAGAAGGGAGCTATGTTCCCCTCACGCCCTGCATACTTCGGCACCCAAGAGAGTGAGCTGGGAAAATACCGGGTCACTGTGTTGTGTCTCCCGCGCGTCTGAGATTTCTGGAGTGCTGGGAAGGGCACCGTGTGGGAAGACTCTGAAAGCAGCTCCCCGCACCCCAGCCTGTGCTTAGTAGGATCTGTATGTCCCTCCCTCTCTGCCTCCCCGCTCTCTCAGCCTCCGCCTGCAGTCAATGCACTAGGAAGTACGGGGAGGAAGAGGGGAGGAACTGGTCTTGCAGGGCTGGGAGGACATCGCTGTGGACCGTGGGCCTCTGGTGTTGAGTTTTCTCTCCGGGGCCAACCAAGCGCCTGGCGCGGGGTCCTCAGCGGAGCAGGGCCGTGGGCACCTGTGCGCAGCCAGAGGGGGGCATTCAGCCCTCAGGCAGCCCTCCCCACTCTCCCCTCAGTATTACTGCTGCAAGAGGAGCAGAGCCGAGGATGCACGCGAGGAGGAGGAGGAGGATCACGACCTGCCCGCACACCGCAGAGGCCCCACCTGCAATGTCTGCAGCTCCCAGGCCCTGGACGGCCGAGGCGGCCTGGCACCTCCCACCAGAGAGCCCTGCGGCCAGCCGTGCGGGGTGGCAGCCAGCCACTGCACTGCCTGCTCCCTATACAGCTCTCCCTTTTACATACGGACGGCTGACATGCTGCCCAACGGGGGCGGAGGCGAGAGGCTCTCCTTTGCTCCCACATACTACAAGGAGGGGGGACCCTCATGCCTCCAACTGGCAGCGCCCCAGAGTTACCCGGTGACGTGGCCAGGCTCTGGCCGTGAGGCCTTCACCAATCCAAGGGCTATTAGTACAGACGTGTAACCCCTTCCACCCCCGCCACGCACCAGCGCTGCTGCCCCAGCAGGAGCAATGGGGACAGCGGACGACACCCCCCAGCACGGCCCACAAGGACGGTCTCAGTTTTCCTGGCTTTCCTTTTCGCACAGTGGAGGGCTCACCCGGATTCAGGCTATTGAGGGCATTAAGAACCAGGGCAGGGCCTGGCCCCGCGGTCCACAGGTGGCGGCCTGACAGGTCGTGTTGGCAGCTTAGACAGTTTCTCTGTTGGGACTGTCCTGTGGCCAGTGCCAGCACGGCCACCACCCTCTCACTTCCCTCAGTCCCCTGGCTGTGCCGGGCCAGGGGAAAGCTGAGCAAAGGCTCTGGGGGTCTTCGGAGTCCTTGGGGGATGGAAGGAGAAAGGGGGGTGTGTAGGGCAAAGGGAGAGGCCAGAGCTGAGGCATTGGCAGAACTCGAGAAGGGAGAGGAAGGGGTTAAAGGGACTCTTCAGGACCTGCTTGCTGAAATGAATCCAAGAGCTAGTTCACAATCTAGTTTTGTACTTCGCCTGTTCTAGAGACTGCACTCCCTGTAGCTATTCCAGCACGGATATTGCTTTCTGAAACACATCACATCTGCATCTGCCTCTGTTTTCACAGAACACGTCGACTGGACTTTAAAGGCTGTGGCATAAGGTTATTTGTGAGGAATGCACCCAAAATGGATGTCTCCCCACAAATCCTCTTTCTCTGCCTCAGGAACCAGCTGCCCTGGCTGGAGAACCTTTTGCAAGTTTTGTTACTAGAGTTTGAGTAGCTTAGCAAAGGAAAGCCTGCTGATGGTCTCGGGGCCCTGGTCCACCACGCTGAGCACTGTGCGTGGATGCAGCCCTGCGAGGACGTGTGCATTCCCAGGTGTGTGCACACGGGCCTGTCACCAACAGTGCACACCAGGACTTTGCCACCTGCAGGAGCTGCAGGGCGGAAGGGTCTCTGATGTACCAACTAGAAAGAAAAATCTGACTCCAGACAGCAGGAGCGAAAGGTGATCAAGGTGGCAGCCAATCCCCACGGCAGCCAGCTGGCTGGTACAGGAAGAGCCTGCGGAGTCTCCCCTGGGATAACGCTGCTGCGTGGAAGCCACGGAAGCCCCTCCAGAGACCTGGTGTTCTCCCTGGGCATCCAGCCACGAGGCCACAGAGCAGGACCCCTTCGTTTCACCACGGATGGCAGCCCTCGCTCTGAGGATGGGAGGGATTTGACTTAGCAATCAGGTTCCATGCTGGCTGCCCTCCCTCCGCTGACCCACCCCCCAGTCACAGGACAGGGGCCTGTTTATTGCTGTGTCACTCTAGCCCCAGTCCAACTCCCAGTTGTAACTCAGCTGTGGCCTTATGCTGCTTGAGTGAATGCATCTGATGAGTTTCCCAGTTGCCTCTGCAGTGAGGGGTGGCTGTCCCCCCACTTCCTAAGGGCATTAGGAACCCCCAGACTCTCTTGCGTCACCGAATGCTGCAGAGCGTGGGGCAGGGAGGAAGCTGGCCCCTCTGCTGAAATCTTGATTTTTGCATTTGCGACAGGGAGGGTGAAGCTGGGGAAGGGGAAGAGAATTCGCCGCACCTTTTGCATCACTCTGGGCACTTGTCACCTTGCATCTCAACCTGTAATCGAGGATCACAGGGTTGAGAATCAGAGGAGCTCTAGGACCAGTCTCTTATCTCCTCTGAGATTCCATTTTCTCCAGGGAAATGAGACTTGTGCAGGTGGACTCTGAGGACCCTTTAATGCTCCATGAAGCCAGCACTCCCTGAAAAGCTCTGCCAGCCAGACCACTCTTTCTTGCCGCAGTCCTGGCAGGGGCTGGATGCGCTTGCCAACTGCCTGATCCTGTGTGCAGAGATTTGTGTTAATGCATGAAAGACCACAGTAAAAGACAGGGTTCGCAGGCAAAACCATTTTAATCATCAGTGGAAAGCAGACGTGTTTGACCGTCCTACTGAGTGACCTCAAATGATAACATTTCTCTGCTACCAGGAGACAGCTCTAGGTGGGGTAATGAGCTGTGTTTCAGAGCCGGGAGGGACCAGCTGAGGACGGCAGCTTTTCATGCCCATCCCACTGCCAGCCCTTACTGGGCTAAGCACGCCCCCTTGACACTAGCTGCTGGGCCTGGGCATCCTCGCCGCTTCCTGACGACCAGCCCCAGTGCCTTGCTTGCCGCCCTGGGATTCCACGGTCACACAACCACAGCAGGGGCTGCCCCTCCTCACCCAGAAGTTCCAGTCCCACCCGCCTTGGGAGAAATCAAGACCCAGTCAACTCTCACCTGCTTCTTGGCCCTGATCTGTTGGGGTCCCTGAGTGAAAAGCATCTCGTGCAATCCTGTCTCCTCCTAGAGCTTTCCCAGCCTAAATCAACCCACATATCAAAATCTGAGTTTGGGGCATTGGAGAGATGGTGGCCGCGGCCCTCGCCACACAGCCGCACGTTGCTCAGGGCACAGGCTCAAGGTTGCCTGCCCGCCTCCCTGCAGCCACAAGGGCCTTGCCTGTGGAAGAGGAAGCTCACCCCACTCAACCACACTGTACTTTTTAGCTGCCGAGTCTGTGCTCTGGGACACTATGTGGACACTTTTCAAACTGCACCCTAAACAGGAAGAGGAGAGGCAGGGGACACCCTGCTCTCTCCGCCTTTTCGCTCCACTCCCACTTCACTGCTCCTGCTACAGATTTCTTGTCCTGCATCTTTGATAACTTGGAGTCACAGCTAAGTGAATGTCAAAATAAAGGAGGAATTGGACATAGAAATCCCACAGGGTCCTCCGTTCTTTACCTGGGGAAGGGGCAGCTGGGCATGGATTTAAGAGTGAAAGCCCCTTCTCGTCGCCCAGCATGTCCTTTTTCAACACTGAGGTCTACCAGCTTCCTCTCCCTTCCTGCTTCCCTCTGCCATGTCCACCCCGACACTGTGTCCTCTACCCGACACCCCCATCCCTTTCCTTGCCTCCGTCGGAGCTCTCATCCAGGAAGGATGTGTCATTTGTTGGGAAAGGGGATTGAAGGGTAGCCACAGCTGTTCCTGAGGCAGAAGGAGCTCAGTCAGTGATGCGGAGCCCTGGGGAGCAACCTGCCTCCACTCCACCCTCACTGTCCAGGCCCCTGGGGTCCTACCTGTAATTCGGGTCAAGGTCCCCGCTCTAAAGTCGGAGGAGGCCTCTGGGTGTCTCAGGGCGCCCAGCACACAGCACCGTCCAGCCCCTCGTCCCCCAGCCACAGCTGGTGTGCTGAGCACCACAGGAATCAGGGAAGGAAGAGCTGCTGGGTCACAAAGCCTCCTCTTTCCCTGTGACCTAACATCCCAGCAATCTAGTCCTGGTGGTCAGAGGTGGAGTTTTGTGTTAGACTTCACTTTGAACTCTGGTTCCACCACTTACCGTGTGACTTTAGGGAACTTTTTGGACTTCTCTGTGTCTCAGTTTCCTCATCTGTACAACTGGGCTCACGATGCCTACCTTATTCCATTGCTGTGAAAATTACGTGAGCCTGGCGCACATGGTAGCCACTGTCGTTAGTAGGATTTGGTGGGGACTCAAGTCTGAGCTGTGGAGGCAGCTGGGATTGCTCAGGCATCAGGGTGGAAGCCTCCTGGGGGCTCTTTTTCATCTCTCCCCCAAGCCTTCCAGAGCCTCTCCTCCCTCGCCACTTCTCCCTGCCTGTTCCAGACGCTGCCAGGACCACCTCTCTGCCCATTACTGCCTCTCCCTTCATTTGGAGACTCCCTCATAACTGCTTGTGACTCTTTGAGAGACCGAGGGTCCTATCAACCTAGGACTGAATTTTGGCCTCACATTTGCCCCAGTAAATTGTACGAACGAGGGAGAGAATATTCATACGTACAACGGCTCAGCTCTCAGCTTGGCACTGTGCATATTTCATTGGTTTCCAAGTTCAAGGCTTGGGTTTGAAAGTCAGGTCAGAAGGGGTCCAGAGGACATCCAGCTCCTCCTCTTGAGCCTGGACTCCCCAGGTTGTCCATCCGTGGCCCTGCTGAGCCTCACTCAGAACTTGCTAGACATTCTGGCTGCTCTGCTCCCAGGTGTTAGTGGGGAGGTGAGAGCGGGAGAAAGAGCAGGAGGGAGGGAGTCCCAGTGTCTGGTTGGGAGGAATGGGAATGTGCTTCTGTAGGACACCATCTGCATCTTCACAGAGTTAGGAAACCAGAGGAGAACTGGACCTGCCTCTCCCAGTGCTTTTTAGATGGGAGGAAAGAGAACCTGTAAGTATAATGTTGACACTTTGATCCTGAGTTTTGTTCTGGATCTAACTACACAACTCAAGGTTAAACAGAGGCCTGAACCTCTTCACAAAGTCTTCTGAACTCTTCTCGAACATAGGGCCCAACCAAAGGGAGAGGCCATCTCCAGACAACCCACTGTTACCCACAGTAACAGTGTAGCTGAGGAGGCCACGACTCAACCCCCAGGGGGGGTTCTCTCGAACTCTTCCTCAGGCAGGACTCCTGAGCAGGGCAGGGTCCTGGGTGAGGGTGGGAGGAGGGTGGAGAATGGCACCTCCCCCTTCTAATCTCTAAAAGGCACGATCATCAAAAGCAACCACACACAGGCTCTGAAAAATCTCCGCGTTCTCCCAGTCTGTGAAGGCACTGTCCAGCAAACAAATTCAAATACATTCAAGAATAACAGACTTATCATGAATATTCTTAAGGGTAATATTTTCTGCCTTTTAACCCATTTGTTGGGCAGCCGTGAACTCTTCCTGAAGCTTAGGAGAGGAACATTCACCCTGCCCTAATCAAGGCGGAAGTCCCCCTTTCTCAAGCAAACTGCCCCCCACAGTCCAAGGTGAGCCTGCTTCCCCAGGATGTCCTTTTCCAAGGGTGGCTGGTCTCTCGGGGACAATCTGCCCAGGCCTCCAGGGAAGTACTTGGCTCCCAACTTCTTCTCCATCCTGTCATCCCCCCCACCTCCTTCCTACACACACACTACCATCACCACCACTACCCCCAGCAAGGAACCACAGCCACAGCCAGGAGTTGGCAGGTAGATGAGGCAGCCTTCTCCCCGAGCTCACTGGCTCCCAGGCCTGCTCCACCCAGTGGGCAGGACAGTTCCAGTCTTCACAGGGGTGAACATCCAGAAGCCGGGTGGCTGGATCGCATTGGGCATCTGAGATCACCTTCCCCTCCAAGTCTCAACAGAAGATGACACAGCTCATCCAGCGCCGGCCATGGGCGCCTGAGGCCTTGGAGGCACACAGGGCTCGTGTGCTGGCCTGCCTGCAGGTACGAGCCAGGTCCCACATCCGCGCCAACCCATCCCAATATCTGCATATCCTCCTGGGCTGCGTTTTGCCTTGGGCCAGAGGTTTTCTTTCTACCCATTGGGAATTCCATCCTTGTTTCTATCAAAAGATCATTCCCTGAGAAGATCTGTGTTCCGGGTCTAATCAAGCATCCTGAAATTATAGCAGAGGCCTGACCCTCCTCACAACATCCTCTGAATTCTTTCTCCAAACATATAGGGCCCAACCAAAGGAATCCAGCATGGTCAGAAGACCCCAAAGCCCAGGCCCCTGCATAGACACCGAGGGTCTCACCAGACCCTCACCCTCCTCTTGCCTCCTTCCCACCATATGTGGCCCCGGTACCCCCATCTGAGGAGGAGCCCTGAGCTGGTGACAACAAATGAGCAGGAACCCAAAAAAGAAAATTTAAGAATTGAGAATTTCCAATGAGGTCAAAAAGTGGTAATATAAAAGGTTGGACATCGGAAGGATACATAAAAAACAAATACAAATGGCTTCCTATTGGGAGGGAGTGGGGAATCAATAAGATGAAGGTAGAAACAAAGCTTTTCAGTGTATGCCTGGTTATATTATTTTGACTTTGTAACTCTACATTTTGAAAAGTTTTTTCGTCTGTTGAATTATACCAAACTGTGCCTGAGAATAAGCGAGTACCGTCCTGGCAGTCACATGCAGGTACATACCCAGCTGTGAGCAGAGCCCTTGGGGGGAAGCCTGCTGAGGCCCGTGCTCAGAAGCCTAACTGAAGAGAGGCTGAGTCTCCTGAGATGCTGCCGCATTTGGATCCTCCCAGCCCTGGGGCTGGGTCACAGCTTCTGCCTGGGGACCCTCCACAGGCAAGGAGGCTTCTGTGCAGCAAGTAGGGAGCAGTCTTCTCCCCACAAGGCCAGCAGGCAGAAGGCTAGAGGGAGAAACAGTGTCAGTCAGCATAGGTCCTATCAGATCATTATTTTTTGAATATTTTTTGTTGTGGTAAAATATCTGTAACAAAAATTTACAATTTTAACCATTTCAAGGTGTATGATTCAGTGGCATTGGTTCAGCAGTGGACTGATTTATTTATTTATTTGAGATACAATTGACATATGACATTGTATTAATTTTAGGTGTGCAACATAATTTAATATCTGTATATAATGCAAGATGATCACCACAATAAGTTTAAAGGCCATTAGCACATATAGGTACACATTTGCAGTTGTTTTTTGATGAGACTTTTAAGATTCTCTTAGCAACTATCCCATATACAATATATACATTTTTTAATACAGTATTGTTAACCATAGTCACCATGCTGTACATTACATCTCCAGGACTTTTCATCTTATAACTGCAAGTT